TTGATGTTAAATGTTCTAAAGCTGGACACTAGAGGGAGCAAGGAGATTGTAAATAGTAGAGGGCCGAGGACAGAACCTTGAGGACCCCCCAGTGGGTGTGGAAGTAAATGTTTTCATCTAAATACATTTCCTTTATAGTAAAGACTTGAAAAATCTAAGATTCCGTTGGAGTATTAGGGGATACAATAGAGGATCTTACGTGGTCAGTGCACACGGAAAATACAGTGAAGAAGGCACAGCAGCGCCTCTTCTTTCTCAGGAGACTGGAAAGATTTGGCATGAGCCGCCGCATCCTCAGGACCTTCTATCGCTGTGCCATTGAGAGCATCCTCACTGGATGCATCTCTGCCTGGTATGGCAACTGCACCGCTTACAACCGCAAAGCTCTCCAGAGAGTAGTGCGGTGTGCAGAAAGGATTATTGGAGGTGAGCTTCACTCCCTCCAGGACATCTACAGGAAGCGGTGCCTGAGGAAAGCGGGGAGGATCATCAAGGACTCAAGTCACCCCAGCCATAAACTGTTCAGACTGCTTCCATCAGGAAGGAGGTTCTGCAGCATCCGGTCCAGAACCAGCAGACTGAGAGACCGCTTTTTCCATCAGGCCATCAGACTGCTGAACACGGCGCAGACACCTCACCCTCACTACTGAAACTCCAACATTACACACTCCATACTGTACATTAATGCCACTGCTCTGCACATACCAGCCTCTGTATATTTTATATCTCTTATCTTATTGTTTACTTTATTCATTTGTAAAACACGTATATACACACTATACACACACTCACACGTAGAACAATATATTGAAAAAAATAATTCAATTCAAGTTTATTTATGAAGCGCCAAATCACGACAAGAGTCGTCTCAAGGCACTTCACACAATAAACATTCCAATTCAGGTCAGTTCATTAAGCCAATCAGAAATAATGTTTCCTATATAAGGAACCCAGCAAATTGCATCAAGTCACTGACTAGTGTCAGTGACTATACAGCAATCCTCATACTAAGCAAGCATAAAGCGACAGTGGAGAGGAAAACTCCCTTTTAACAGGAAGAAACCTCCAGAGAATCCTGGCTCAGTATAAGCAGCCATCCTCCACGACTCACTGGGGATCGAGAAGACAGAGCACACACACACACACACACACACACACACACACACACACACACACACACACACACACACACACACACACACACACACACACACACACACACAGACAAGTAATGTGTCTACAGTTATATTGTGATGTCTTAGTAAATATTGTATTTGGTGAGAGATAAACTTTATTGTATTTATCCTAGTGGATCTATAATTAAACGGGTAAACTAGTAGTAGCACATCAAAAGTCAAGGAAAAAAGTAAGAATGGCATCCTGTGGTCAGATTAGATAACTGCAGTCTATTTTCTGAATGAAAGCATAACTCTCTCACTGCCATCCTGTGACTTCATGGCTGTTGCCAGTTAGGGATTGGCGTAAAAAGATTCAAGATGACAAGCAAAGATGAGTTAATCACAGTAACCCCTTGATCACATCAGACGCAGAAGCGCGACGAAGCTCCGTCTAGTGCCGTGGATCGAAGAGTGCAATTAGTTGACACCCTTGTTAACCTATGGTCTCGTTCACATCAGCTGCCAAGCGCGGCAAAGGCTCACGCCGTGCAGCGACCGTTTTAGGTGTGTGCTCTATTTCTTTGGAGAGCCGTGTCAGTTCTGGCAGGAAGTCAAACTAAAACAAAAGAGGCAGGTAGGCTGGAATACAAACAATTATATTTAATTCAAAGGTAAATATACAATGTGCACTACCACAAACATTAGGTTATTTATTTACCTATTTAGAAAGGGATTCGTTTACAAAACAACAGCAGGATCAGCGCAGTTTCTGACATCAAGCAGGGAAAACTGGTTACACACACACACACACACACACACACACAAGCAACGGGCAGCGCGCAAATTTCATGAGCGATCCACTTCGCAGTGCTTAGCAGCTGATGTGATCCAGGCGTAATTTGATGAGTAGAAAAATACATCTGGTGTTTGCTCTCTTGGGTGAGAAAAACCAACAAGCCCCCAGCCGCTTGGAATGAAATCTGTTTCAATGTAACCTTCTTTCCAACATGGCCGAGACTTTAGACTGTTTTGTGATTATTTCACAGTTGGACTCTTACATATTGCTCCTTCAAAGTCACCATTTAGTTCAAATAAATTAAAAAAGTGTGATTATAAAAATTTGTAAGATTAATGCAAATTAAAAGGAACACGAAAAACAACTGAAGATTTATACGTGTCTGGTTTGTTTCACACAGACAGTGTTGCTAAGTGTCTCACTGGGTGTTTTTATATAAAGGTGACTGACAATCCTTTTTTACATTACAGTTGCTAGTGCATGTTTATTAATGTACCTTTTAGGGGTTTTGTTCAACTTTACAAGTTCACTCACCACTCTGTGAAGTATGCATTTAAGTCCTAAAGGCTGCCTACAGCTTTCAAGTGTAGCAGCAGATGTAAACTGTGTGAAACAACAATTTCCTGGAACACAAGCTGAAAGCACTTCACTGTAACAATATTCTGCAAAGTCAATGACTTCACACCAGGGGAGATTAGAGTGAAAATTACAGCTTGTACACTTTTTGGGGCAAGCTCTATTCCTAACTCTCCTGTCTCCTTATCTCTGAAGTGTGAACAGATGCATCGCTGTCTAAGCCCGGCAATCTTTGATCAGCTCAGAGTTGCCAAGCTTAAGCTGGACGAGGTCATGGGAACATGGTGTGGGTCGATGCGTTGTCAAATGTGGGACGTTTCCACCTGTTTGGGAATACATTCCTTCTTGTTCTCCAATCTAGCTGGACTTTGAACATTAAAGGCTTGAAAATGAGTGGAGTCAACAGTTCATTATAGGTGTTCCCAAAGTCGACCGCCTTAGGTAGCAACCAGCCATCATGGATATCTGTTTTTGCACAAAGAAAGAAGAAACGCGTTTAAGCAATCCTATCCATTGGCCTGTGTGAGTGAAGCTGATTAATGGCTGTATTTGTTGTTTTTTGCACCAATAGCAGAGAAGAATCATGAAAATCTACTTCACTGCATTATATTTTTCATTCTGCTTGAGAATCCTCAACATAAAATGCCCACTTACTGTTGAGGGTTGATTTAGAATTAGATTTGCATTTCTTTGGATAATTATTTAGACCATTTTCTAACTAGAATGAATATGGCATTTAATCTGCATTGTGGATCTGTTGTCACCTAAATATGGAAGTGATAGTGGAATTTGTGACAGACATCTGGGTCCTGTACAAAGGCAGTAGAGGGTTTTTTATGTTGAAAATAAAACCCCAGGAGGTCATCTAGCTTTGCCAATGCCAAGGTTTAAAATAAAATTCTACTTTTTATTCACGATTTTTGCCCCAGTTGGTTACCAAACATTGATATATAAAACAGGTCCCACCAAGGAGTTGCTTTATTTTTTTTGCATGTGCAAATAAAAATTTTATGCACAAGACTGTCTCCAGCAATCTTGAGCTTCACCCCAGTCACACAGAGTGCAGCTTCATCTTTTTTAAATAAGGTATAATCAAATGCATGCATTTGAAATAAGTGCAAAAAGCATCTGATTTTCAAAGACATGCATTTTTTTTCTGACATGCACTTAGCATGAAACCCGTCACAGAGTAAATTCATGGATCTATAATGTCCACAAAATGCTGTAAAGTTAAAAGGGTCGTTCAGTGGCAAGTCTAAAACCTCATTTTGTTCCAGGAGGTTAAAGATACAACAATTTGTTAAACTTTCTTCTTTCATTCGTAATTTCATAATCCTTTTATTTTCCCTTTTAAAACCGAAAGTTAAAAGTTTCAGTTTAGGAACAATAAAATATACACTTTATTAATTTTATTGCATTGTCTCTTCCAGTCTCAAATATCAGATGTAGTTGCATGGCCTGGCCTTGTTGCTAAAGCTCAAGCAGAAGCATGTGAAGCTGTGAAAGCTTGGTCTAGGGCAGGAAAACCAAGACGGGCTCACCAATGAAGATAGAAGCTTGCTAATGTAACAATGTGTGTGCTAGTTTTTATAATTTAAAATATACAGACCAAAAGAAAAATACACGAGTGCAGATTTTACGTTCAAAAGGGTTCCTTGCTAGCCTGGCAAGCCATAGTCTGGCCACGAGTCACTGAAACCACCAGTCGTAAGGCGAAATCTACGGTTGTCTTTCAAAGTGTCTGCGCACAATTGGACAGCACTAGACCCAATCGGAGCAACAAACAACGTGAAGTACTCACCGCTAGGGATGTCAGTCAATGGGGCGGTCTGCCAGACTTTGTTGAAGAAGAACCAAATATATTCTTTTCGATCCTTTTCAAATGAACACCGTGCCAGAGCCAATGCCATCTTCCTAGTTTTTCTCTGTCACAGCTCCAGCATTAAGCCCGCCTAAGAAATGCAGAGCGGTGTGATTGGAAAGAAACAAAACTGGTCAGTCCAATGTTAGACCTGCTGATGTTGCAATGGAGTGTGGCTATACCAACCTGCAGAGCAAAATCTTCATCTACAGCAACGGTTGGTCTAGATTTCCTGGCCACTTCGATACTGTATTACAAGTAAGATTAGGAAGAAGTTGAAACATGTTAATAGCCATTCCACTCTAGATGTTAATGTCTGGGAGGGTGAAAACTGACCGGGAGATGGCTTGGTTGCAATGTCTCCATTCAATATCAGTCCTTTCACTGCTTTGCTAAGCATTAGCACATTGCGCCAGCTTCGGCAGTGACTGATGTCAGTGATTAGTGCCAAAAAGTTTCCACAAACATTAAGGACAAAAAGTATGGCGTAATAAAACTGAGTCGGGGGACCGGGAGAGTAGCTGTGTGATGTAAAATGTGGCATTCAATGGCCAGAAGAAGCGCTGTTTTTTAAGGCTTTGCGACAACAAAGCTCTGTAAATTCCGTTGTTTTGTGTGTGTGTGTGTGGGGGGGGGGGGTCACGGCTGCATTTTTCGGTGTTGTTAGTTTTGTAACAGTGATTGTAGAGCAGCAACAGCACTGCCTACTTTCTTTTCATTCAATTCTGCTTCACCATCAACTCTTCCCATTTTTCTAATTGTTTTGACAACGTCTGCCAGTGTCATTTCCTACTGAGCTCAGCATGAGTTAACCAAAGGTTCTGCTGCTCAGCTCCACTCTACCCGGCCTTTCAGGGTACCAACCCCAGTTCAGGTACTCTGTTGCTTCCTGAAAATGACTAAGTAAATGGTCCTTTTGGCCGTCTCTCTGAAGTGAAGTCTTTTGAATAATACGACTACTGGTAAGGACGGTGTTCCTTCTTGTGCCTAAATGTAGTGTTAGAATTTTATCAGTTTGGTATTCCTAGTTGGTCATTCAGGTCAGCTGGGAAAACCGACTGTCATCATCTTTAATCTGGACAATGGTGTTGGGCAAGGCACTTACTTATCTCAACTTTGTTTAATATATATGAGAATAATCAGGTGTTGAATTGGCTTTATGGTTGCCAGTATGGTGGTAAACTGCCTTATGTTTGCAGATGACTTGGTGGTTTTTAATCAACAGTTCCATTATGTGTGCTCTGCTTGTGGGTTTGAGATGAATTACAATGTTTACGAAATGTGTGATAATGATTTATAAAACTATGGAAAAAATCATATGAACTTTACTTACCGTAAATCCTCTAATACAGCCCGGTATTCAATTAAAGGCCGGGTCTCATATTTTGGCCGGTGCCGGAGTCGGCGGAGGTGAATAATGGCCGGTCTCTTATTGTGGCCGGGTGGAATGTGGTAACAAGCAAGTACGGGGGCGGTTGTGTCATCGTCTCACTTTTGATTTGCCAGTGATAGACCGCGAGGGTAACTTTAACCGTGCGGAGACGAAGAGGAGGCGAAGATTTGATATCAAGTTCAAAGAGAACGTGCGCTGCAGAACACTGGGGAGCAATAGGGGTTGTATGAACTAGTCGACTTCACTATAGTGACTTTTTATGCCTGTCATCGACTAGTCGCTGTCACGTGATAATGACCGGCAAGATGCAGCCCTCGGAAAAGACAGCAGCCTGCTGTCAGCAGGTGACAAGCTCCTGCGCATCGGGGGGCAACGCGCTGTGCCAGAACGTCGGTACTGACACGCGATCGTTCATGTCGGTTCATTTCCTTTAATGTTTTCTGTCTTTTATTTGCGCCTGATGTGTTTCGCTGCTGTGGAGCGGGGCGCATCACCTTGTCATCCGGTGACGCACCGATCACTGATGCGGCCGCCAAGCAGGGAGCACTCCGCTGTTTTTGCGGTCAGTAGATCTGCATCCATCAAATCAGGTGTCGCCACCTCAAAAACTAATTTAACACGCGATCGTTCATGTCGGTTCATTTCCTTTAATGTTTTCTGTCTTTTATTTGCGCCTGATGCGTTTCACTGTGGAGCGGGGCGCATCACCTTGTCCTCCGGTGACGCACCGATCACTGATGCGGCTGCCAAGCAGGGAGCACTCCGCTGTTTTTGCGGTCGGTAGATCTGCATCCATCAAATCAGGTGTCGCCACCTCAAAAACTAATTTAACACGCGATCGTTCATGTCGGTTCATTTCCTTTAATGTTTTCTGTCTTTTATTTGCGCCTGATGCGTTTCGCTGTGGATCGGGACGCATCACCTGTTTTGTCCTCGGTGACGTACCGATCACTGATGTGGCCGGCCAGCAGCTCGCACTCCGCTGTTTTTGTGGTCGGTAGATCTTTTAGAACTGCAGTTCAAAGGTAACTCATAAGGTGAATATATCTGGACCCAGGTAGCAGTTTCTCTTTAGGATTGAGAGGAGATGCAGGAAGATAATAAACAGGCAGGACAGAAAAATAGTCAAATAAAAACAAGTTAGTTTTTGTACCTGCTGTTGCAACAAACAGACACCACTGAAGGTAATCAGAAGTGAGGAACAGAAAATGAAATAATTATTTTAATGTTTAGAGCAGCAGGAACTCCGAGAGGCTGCAGGCGCATCAGTGAGTTTGCGGCCGCTGCGCAGGGGGAGGGGGGAGAGGGCTGAAGCAGAAACTACCGTTGTTAAAAGAAATGTGTTTAACTTTGAAAATGTGGACGCAATTTTAATCGTGAAAAACTCCAGCGAACCATTAGTTCATTTTGCTCAAATAGAAATAGAGGCCTGCCTCTAATTCTGGCCCTCCTTCCAATAAAGGCCTGGAGCTTGATGAGCTTGAGTCAAATACAGGCCCGGGCCTCTATTAGAGGAGTTACGGTATTTTTAACGAGAGGGTGATATTGTGCATGCTGGTATTTGTGTTAAATATGTTGGAAGTAAGATTACTGGTCAGTTTACAGATAATGAGAATAGCAGTCTTGCAGGTGTATGCATATCTTTGCTTGTTGTACTTGCTTGTATTCCGTTTACCATTGGGTCAGTCATGCAATCAGAGACTGTAAGTTGCAGGGTACTTTTTAAAAAGTCTCGCTGGAATAGTGCTGGTGAACTGTTCTTGACTGCTGAAGCCAACTCCCTTCAAGCTATTGTGAGAAATTATGTTGCATAAATTCATCAACAGATTAAAAGCATCTACTATGTGTTGATTTTTCTGTTGTCAAACATTCACTTATTGCCCTCCGCTATCAGTCTAAGCTCAGTAAACAACTGTACAGCTGTCGTAGCACATGCAGGTTATCTTTATGTGTTTTATATAGTACCTTTGTAGTTTTTATAGGTTTATATAGTCACTTTCTTTAAATATAAACTGAACCTTGAGTCTGCAATAATGATTATCTACCTATCTACATTAAGGATTTGTGTTTACAACTGCACATCCTTTAATGCCGTAGACAAACATAATAAGTGGAGTAAGTGATCCCTATCGTAAAACACCCAAGAGTGCTAACACCAGATATAACTGACAGATTCATAACTGGCAACAGCCTTGAAACTCACAGAACGCCAGTGAGAAAGTGATATTTTTGCTTAAAAATGTGGACTGTGATACCCACATTTGACCACAGGATGTTAGTCTTCCAAACTGCACCTTTAAACGTTTTATTTACAAAGTATTTTTGCTTTAAAGTATGTTACTGTGTTATGATGAACAACTGAAAGCAGTTGCATAACCTAACAAATCCCAGTGCTAATGCTGAGTTCAAATATACACTTGTGTTAGATGGTGCAATTATCTCTGACCTGTTCAATAACCATTTTATTACTTTGGTTAAAGAACTAACGTGCCAATTCACCAGGAAGACGACCCCTATATCAACAGAGGATGACCTGTTTGAGAAGAGGGAAGTGGCTTCTGCCACCCTTTTTAAAGTTATAAATAATCAAAATCTTGCTAAAGATATGTGCAACCTAGACTCTGCATTCTTAAAAAAGAATAGTATTGTCTTTGCCACCCCCTTACTCATATAATTAATGTATCCATCCAAACAGTTTAGTTCCCGGATCGCTGGGACCAGCCGCTGGTGAAACCCATCTTTAAATCTGGGAACACACAAGACCAAACTAACTATAGGCCTATCAGTCTCTTACCAATCATGTCAAAAGTCCTGGGGAAAAAAAATTCTGACCAGCTCCTAGAATATTTATTAAATCATAACATGCTACACCCTCTTCAGTTTGGCTTCAGACAAAATCATTGAACAGAAAAATCTGTCTCTTATTAGAACAGTTCAAACAATCACTTGATGAAGGAAATAATGTATGTGTTGTGTTTCTGGAATTGAAAAAAGGCCTTTGACAACATATGTCAGGATCTGCCCCAAGCCCTCTGACTCTTGGTCTCGTTTACCCCTAATGAGTTGTTTGTTGGACTCAACTGCCCCTTGTTATCCTACTCATGTGTTTCTGGCTATCCTTGTGTATTTAAACCCCCTTCATTGCACTTGTCCTTAATCAGATCATTGTTGTGTTTTCACCCTGTTACGTTGCTCCTGTCGTATTGTAACGTCCAGAAAGGGTCGATTTTGACCTATATATTGACCTACATAGTGACCGGTCATCTACAGAAACAATTCCCCAATCTAGGTGGATTTTCTATTCGATCTTCTAACATCCAGAAGATTCTGCAGTGCTTGTTGACATTCCATGAAGACAAGATTGTCAAACTAGGTCTCCAAACAAATGCCTGTCCTCTTTTCTCAGACTGCTGGATTCCACACTCTGAATAAAAAGTGAACTTTTACAACTCATAAGTTAAATAATCATATGGTTGAATGAACCAGATGTTAAATGAAATGTTTGAATAATCTGTGCCTAATTCAGTGAAGTTGAAATGAATATTGTCTTAGAATGATCCATTTATATCTTATGATCAGTACTGGTTATTTAACAAGTTCGTCATTATCTACACTCATACACGATGTTCATTAGATGCAAATTAAGGTTAAGGTCGCCTCACATAAAGTTTAAAGATTCTTTATCCACAGAACTAGAACAGCTTGTAACTGGAAGGTGCGGTTTTCTGAGGGATGTTTGGTAAAGCCTACAAACATATCAAATTCTGATTTGCCAGAATCATAACAAGTGGATTATTAAAACGAGAATGACTTCCCGAGTTATTCAGTTTGGAGCGGAACTCTGAAGTGGCCGATTTAGAACCAGCCTCCTAGAGACACCTTTCTCTTTGACACACAGTCAAACCTGTTGGCACACCGCCAGCTGACACAGCCATACGGCTCCTTAAGAGCACATCCGTGTTAGATGCAACAAACCGTCCTGCCTGTTGTGACCTGGAGACTTCTCAAGACCGGACTGGTTGCACTGCGGTTAATCTACAAACTTCGGTGCCTTGAGGTCCACGCAACTTCCTGATATTCCGGATCAGACCGGGGATCTCCGATCAGGGTTTGTAAACACAACAGATTGCGTCTGATGTTGTTTTATTAATAATCAACTCTCTAGTTTATAGCAGACAACAAATTATTTTACACCCAGAATTCACAATCTCTTTCAGATACAAAGGTTCTGATACACATTTACTTTACACCACACCACCTAAAACTCACATTCCATATACACTACATCACATATCATTATTCATAGCTTGTCTTGTATTATCATTAGTTTAGAAAAGAATAAAATTCCTTTTAACTATATACTTGACTCTGCCTGAATTAATACGAAGTGTGTTTATGGTCGCTGAACAAGCAAAGAATCCTAAACTCTTCTGGTTAAACATTCGAAGATCAATCAGGTTGATCTTTCACATTTATATGGAAACATCACATCTTATTGGTCATAATTAAATATGCAGTCGTTGCACTATAAAGTGTGACTGCTACAGTGTCATCCTACCTGCCATTACTCATTAAATCCATTTTTTTTTTTACTTGATCTGGCATTTACTGGATTTCTGCCTCCTGGTCCAGCTCCACCGCACATGGGTCCACCACCATCTACACTGCACCATGACACCATATACCATAGTATATTCATATCAAAACTCTTCTCTTTCCATTTCTCAAAGCGCTCGGCCTCTTGGTTTCAATCATATTTACAGAATTGGGAACAATGTGCCATTATCAATAATTGTAAGTCTAATCTTCCAAAAATTGAAACTGGCATCCCACAAGGAACACTACTAGGTCCTATTCTTTTCAATTTATATATCAACAACCTTCCAGACGCATCTCCTGAGGTCAGTCTACAGATGGATGCAGATGACGCTACTGTCCGTGTATCTGGCAAAGATTGCGACAGTTTAACGACGATTCCGCTTAGCTACAGGATGAATTCTTAACACACAAAAAAAATTGTATTTGCTTCTCCAAAAAAGATTCTGCCACAAACATCTTGAAAACTTCTATAAATGGAGAATTAATTGGAATAATTTTAGACTCTCAGTTAAATTTTAAGTCATGCAAAAAAAAACTGCAAGGTTGTCAGAAAAAATGTTATCTATTTTAAGATCATAAGATACTGCCAGAAACCAGAATGTGCACGGATATTTTTAAATTCTATGATCTTCTCTCATTTGTCTTGCGGAGCTACGGTATGGTCACAGACTAACCAGACCACACTTAAACCTCCGGAGAGCCTTCATAACAGGGCCCTGAAGATTCTAGACATAAAGTGTACCATCATCGTAACATACTGTTAAATTACAGCCTTTTAACATTCATAAATTCTATTCATTTTGAGTTTTTTTTTATGAATTAATGGAATGGCACCAAAACCCCCGTGTGGCTAAGCTAACGAGCTGCACAAGAGCAGCCTGAAAATTGCAATTGTACCGTACCGTAAAACCAACTTTGCCCAGACTACACTGTCAGTGAAAGGTGTATGGCTTTGGGATATGCTTCCCATCAATTTGAAATCCCTCACTAGTTTTTACTCTTTTAGAAAGCAAACCAAATACTGGCTGTCCCGCATTTCATAGATTTAACTGTTATTTGCCTTTTCCTTTGCTATAATTTTTCTGTCTTAAACTGATTATTTTATTGTACACATTTGTTTTATTTCTTCTTAATTTATGATTATAAAAGTCGATCTAGGGACAAATGCTGCAAATTAGTGTGAGCGAAGGTCATTTTGCTACAAATGGGGCTGGGATTTGACTGTTTGTTTGTACTTGTATCTGTCCCTGTTGAAGCAAACGAAATTAAAACAAAATTAAGATAAAATAATATAACTAATTCTGCATATTATAACATTTCGATTCTATGTTATATTTGTATCAAAAATTAGGCTATTAAGTATTTCATTCTGGGGCTTCTCTATATCAGCTTAAATATCCGATGTTTCTTGGTACTGAAGTGTTTGGATTTTGAGCTAAAAGGATGATTAAAGATGATGTGGGGCTTTTTATCTCTGGATTGACATTATTATCTTTATCAGAGCTCTGTAAATTGCAGAGTTAAAAAAATATGAAGTACTTGCACAAAACACACGTTTTTGTGGATTTCGGATGAATGAAACATCTAAAATCCTGACTTTTATTTAAATTAAGCTTTAGAGTTTGATTTTGTTGTTAAAATGTGTGTGTGTGTGTGTGTGTGTGTGTGTGTGTGTGTGTGTGTGTGTGTGTGTGTGTGTGTGTGTGTGTGTGTGTGTGTGTGTGTGTGTGTGTGTGTGTGTGTGTGTGTGTGTGATTGGCTTTTTAGGTGGAAGATTAAAGAGCGGATAACACCCTGAACATTGACCCTGGAAAGTCAGCATCAGAAGATCGGTTAAACCATAACCTGTAGACGTCAGGACCCTAAAAAGGATACTTCCCTGTTGATGCTGACAACTCTTCAAAAGAAGCATTGTCATGACTTAAGCTGAGGATATTTGTAAGTCAAGTCCTCCTCCTCTGAAGACTAGAGACACCAGGGTAAGCGGTTAGAACCATGAGGTCAGCTGGGCTCATCTGGATTCATCACGATGCTGCACTGATCAGCTGAACTTCCTAAATTTTCCATGACCAACTTTGACTTTAACAATATGCCGCTAGTGAAAGGAAACAGAGCCAGGACCTTCGCTATCTTGTCCTGTGGCATTACTTTTACAATGCTCGTGTTTAGCTACACTTTCAGTGATCCCTCACTCGATTTCTTCAAATACGCTTCTCGGCTCTCAGATAGCTTCTTCTCCAAAGGACTGTGTGCCTGTCAGCAATGCATCGCAGAACTGGAGGGTGACCCATGGTTTGCAGAGCACTTCAATCAGTCCATCCACCCTCTGATGACCAGGGAGAACAGTATCCTCTCAGAAGAGACCTTCAGGTGGTGGCAGGTGAGACTCAAGAGGTGTACGTTTTAGATTAGCAGTGTTGACATACGGAGGATAAAAATAACAGAACATGTAGGCTCAGCTTTTGAAAACAGAATCTGGATCTGAGTTAGAAATACCATGAACTGAGGAGATCACATGCAGATCCAGTTCTTCAGAGAGCATTTTTGTTTATTTTTGCGACATTGATTGTTTCAAATCCATAGGATTCTCACCAGGATCAGCTTGTGAACACAATGTCCGCACACATTTTATGTGTGTTTAGCAAAAGTAATGGAGGACAGGGAACTGGATGTTTTTTTCCACCACCTCTTTTTCTGTAAATCTGCAGAAAAGTTGAGATATGTTTTCAATCACAACTCAAATCCTCGAGTAATGCCAAAGAATTTCAGTCACTTAAGTTGTTCGGCAGACAGGCTGCAACCTGAGGCCTGTGAGACAGTAAGAGCAAGGAGCTGTTTTTGGTGCTGTCAGATCCTGCAGAGGAGATTATAGAGCACAAATTGTTAAAAGAACAAACTTTCAGAAGGTGCAGATTGCTGGTCTGAGTGCACAAGGTGGAAAAGAGTTGATGAAATCAAAATTTATTATGCACGTGTGCGTCAGAATTATGGGAGAATCACAATGGTGCAATGGAGTGAGTGGAAGGCAGAAAAGTCACACAGAGGGAAATAAGTGTGTCTTTGTTGACAGTCTTCTTTGGCAGAAATTTTTGATTTGCAAAGGGCTAAAAGCTGCTTAAGCAAATCTGCAAAACAAGCTAGCTTTTAAACACAAATGCAGTCACGGATCCCCCCACACACACAACCCCATGGCCATTTTCATGCCTGTACGTCCACTGGATACCAATAGGGAGCATAAGTCTCCTCCCTTTCCAGTCGGCCCATTGGTCCCCAGAAGAATGAAAAAATGAATGCAAGTCAACTAGAGCTATTTACTAATTTGCTTTGCCTTACGCCCTGGATCGCACACATGTTGTACTGCAATTTACATGAATTTAGTATTTTGACCACGCCAGTCACGTACTTTGAGATTTAACAGCTTGTAAAAGTTCGTAATTAGCATGACTACACACCAGAAATCAGTATGTCGCATATGTAACATCACCACAGAATCTCCACTCCTCTAGCATAGCTGCTACTTACCAAATGGCCAGATTCATGGTGGTTCTTTCCTCCTGTGGAAAGGATTTGAAGTTTGCTGAACTTACAGCCATTATCCCTATGTTTTCTCCCTGTCTGATTTGATAACATCACTTTTGTGAAGCGTATTTGTACACGAAAAAGCTTCTGTCAAATTCACGGACATGGTATGTGAAATCCATGGAACATAACATGCGGATTTATAGCCCCATTGACTTTCATTCATTTTTTCATTCTTCCAGGTACCCATGGTCCAGAAGTAGATGGGCGTGACTTAGGCTCCCTATACCTGTACTGCCAGAGGAAACGAGATAGTGATAAACACCAGTCGCAACAAACATCTTTTGTTGTCCGTGACTTCAAACGGTGTTTTTCTTTTTGGGACTCTGGTAGTTTGTCCTAAAGTTGAAGTGGTAACAGCCATCTGTTTCTCCTTCTCTGATATTATTGAGCGAACCTCTCACACCAGTGGTGTTCTGCTGCTAGATGAGCCTGCGTATAATGAGTGGAGGACCCAGGTAAATGTGGAAGTGCAGTGGTTCGGTAAGACGGACAAGTGTATGGTCCAATCATTGTTTTTGGACCAAGCCGTGTTATAGAGCTCTGGACGTCACGTGACTCTCAGAGAGTAGACGCCATGTTGGCAGGCAACAAAGGTAAACAAAATGAACGGGATTGGCTTGGATTTTACTCCGTCGGAGTTTACTTCACACTTTAAAACCGAAGAAATTGTTTTATATAGTCAGAAATTAAATAGACTAAACATCTCCGACCCTTACCGTGCCCCTGGGATACTTTTTAAAAACGCCAGAAGCTGTCGGAGCGGACTTCTTACCGGACCTGGCCGGGGAACACCTTGGGATTCCCCCGGAGGAGCTGGCCCAAGTGGCTGGGGAGAGGGAAGTCTGGGCCTCTCGACGCTACTGCCCCCGCGACCCGACTCCGGGTAAGCGGATGAAAATGGATGGATGGACAAATAACACAGATTTACACGTTAGTAGTTTAAATAGAGTGCTGTGCTGTTTGAATGTATAAACTGAACCCCAAGAGAAATCACTAGTTTGATTGTTTTCCGTGAATAAAATAAATATGTCAGGCAGGAGCGTCTCAGGATCTGTCTGAGATCTGTCTCGGTGAGACAGATAATAGCAATCCAAAGTGCTTTTTATGTGTGATCTGATCAACCATTGCTTAAAAATTAAATACAGCTTAGCCGGTTAATTGCTGTGATCATAAAACACGTAAACGGCAGCACGCAGAACTCACGAGGCAACGTTTTACGTGATGTTTACTTGTTGCTATGAGTAATAAGACAGAAAAAGCCACGCCAAAATAAGTTTAGGAAGCCCACTAAGAATCGTAATAAAAGCATTTAAAATCAATACCATACACAGCTCCATCAGTGGCGGATCTAGGATTTTTCTGAGGGTGGGGCCATCAAGGGGCCACAATATTTATAGAGGGGCCACGAACAGTCCAACATACTTGCATACTATTCCCAGTTTTGTATGGTAGATACAGTTTACCCCAACACCATGTTGAAAAACATTAATGCAATTGTACATCAATGTTTACTGTACATTGACAAAATACAACCACACACAGCATTTGAGAAATTTTAGCATTCAATTTATTTTGCAAAGCCACAAATATCAGGTTAAAATATGTTTGTGTGTGGAAAAAACACCAGAAGAATATCACAGGACCCTCTGCTCTTGACTGGGAAATGTCTGGTGGGAAGTCAATTAAATAAGTCTGAGTCAGTTGCTTATATCTCTCAACCTTTAACATTCATGGCATTCAGAATCTGCAAGTGACTGACTGCAAAATTCAATTAAATTTAAAGAGCCTTTACAAAATGAGAAGCACACCACCAGGTCCTACTGGAACAGAACACCGTTCTGATGTCTGCGCAGGATTCTGTGCATCACACTGGAAGATGTCTGAAAACAGCAAATGAGAAATTATCTAACATAAGCCAAATACATACACAAGCATTTATTACTTTCAAAGATCAATGTTTACCATTTGATCCTGCAGGATTAGCAGTGATTGGTGACTCTGGTGGCCCAGCAGGATGGAAGGTTGAGTCATTAACTTCACTCTGGTTGTCTGAATTGGAGAGAGTCTTGTCCCAGTTTGCAGCTAAAATACAAATATATGTCAAACTCCAGCTAAATCCAGCCAAAACTTTGTTTTCTATGAGACCACATTTTTATTTATTTGAAATTGGAGACTTGAAAGATTGGACTATAAAGATGAGATGTGGTAGATGTAGACAAAGAAACCAATACAATTTAAATCCATTATGTTAATGTTATAGTAAATCACATCACCATGAAGCGGAAGAATTCAGTAAACATATGTGCCATTAGTACAAGATAACATCATTTAACAAATTTGAGATAATGGTGATTTTTTTTTATTTTTACCTAGAATAATGGCAGGAAAAGTTGGACTAACAAAGGAATATCCAAAACACAAAATCTCTTTGGAAAACTTAACCTTGACCTTACTTAATCAACCAATTAGAAAATTCAGTGTTTCAAACAAGGACTTTTCCCACACATTTTACAATACATCAAAATGTCACAATTTAGGGAAACCTTGAAGGAATTGTGGGAAAGGAAACTTAACTGCAACATTACTGATGATGAATGGAAAGATGCTTTGAAAAACGTAAAATCATTTACTAAAGGGAAGCAACTTTGCCACTAATGATTTGTCACGATTAACAACTTCTATCAATTTAAACAATAATCCTTTATTTTTGGTGCTTGGCATAACTGACCCAATTATTACTGATAAATATAAAAAGCTCAATGCAAATTTTCTGTGCAAGAAAATGACTCCACATTAACTGGATCAGCTCCAAGATAAAATGGGAAAAGGTTATCCTCAATTATAAGCAGAACACACTGGGCAGCATTAGGTCGTTTATAAGTGGTCAGTCCGTCCTGCTGGATAATGTGGTGCAATCATGATCTTTTTACAAAAGATTATGCGATGGCGGTGAAAAGGGGGCTTGGGGGCGGTCTCTGCGCTGCCACGGACTTCAGTTTATCTTGGACATAACTTGCTTTTTATTGCGATCAAAGCCACTCATTAAGCTTTTTTAACAAGCCGCTCCAGAAGGTGTCTGTCCCCGTGCAGTCTCTGGTGATCTGAGCTTCAACTCTTACGGAGAGGCTCCCCGGCCATCATCTCAGCTGATTCTGTTTAGAAAAGCCAAACTTACGGCCCATGTTTACTTTCATTTTCAATATAGTTGCCGGCCGGAACTCGGCAGTAACTGCCCACGTGATCATGATACCCCCTTCTGTTGCGCCAAGTTGTAATATGCATTCACAAGTCCGGCGTTGCGGTGATATTAGTATCAACCGTGGCAGCACGAATGCCACAAAATTCCCGCAACACCATGCCGCCACGGCGCGTTTATATTACACGTACGCTGATTTCCCAGCATGGTATGTCCTACAAGAGGCTGTCTCTCGTGTTTATCTGACATGACTGTTGCACAATAAAGATTATATTCTTTCTGACCTGATAAAGGGGGAATGGAGGTCCCTTGCCCTGTTCCAGCCTCTGGTCTACTGCCTCCTGCTGCTCTCTCTCTGATTTCTCCATGCTCGTTTTCACCAGCTGACACACTCACTCTCTTGGGAAAAAACTGCAGAATTCCCGCCTGTATCTGACCCTTTCTTTTCATGTTCTCTATCAGACAGTGCCAACTATTAACACACGAAATGCAGATTACAAAAGAAGTACATGGATTAGCAAGGGCTAACGTTTTTTCACAAGCCCTTTTTAACATTACCTTTAACTAATGTCGGCATTGCTTTCCATTGGACTTATTGTCAGACTTGACTTACATGGCAACTGTGAGTAAACAGTGATTCGTGACTTACCGACAAACTCCTCATAACGTGGACTCTCATCAGATCCGATGTCGGTTGAAAAGTTCTCCCTTCTTGGAATCTTTCAAATCTTCTTCTGTTAGATTTCACACAATATTTTGCTCCTTAGCGCCACACGGCCACTAGTGTTTGGACTCGGAATTGCATCCACCTATAATCTCATCACCGCACAAAGGACAGATGAGTGACAGGACAGGGGCACTACAGGGGCCAATCATATTTCAGCAGGGGCCAGTGCCCCTGTGGCCCCGCCCCTAGAACCGCCAATGAGCTCCATATGATTCTACTGATGCATCTTCTGTAGTTGAGGGATCACTTTGTGTGTTTGATTCATCCTGCCTGGCTGCTATGGATATTGTCGCTCCATTAAAATCAAGTCAAAAGAAATCCAAGTCAGACCCATGGCTGAACTAACAAACTCGTTCCTTGAGGCAAAATTGCAGGAGACTGGAACGTAAATGGATAAAAGACAGGCTTACTGTATCCTTTGAGGCCATGAGAGAGGCTTGGCCTCAGTACCAAAGAGCAGTCAGAGGCGTGAGAAATCGATTTTTTGCCAGCATTGTCACGGCTATTTCAAATAATCAAGGTGTGTTATATAAAACCATAAATGCAGTGCTTTCCCCAGTTCAAAATCTATTTTCCTCTGCGTCCAGTGACTTGTGTAGCCAAATCCTGCAGTTTTTCTTAAATAAGATTACTGTAATCAGAGCTCAGATTCACCAAACCAACCATGTTCCCGATTCATTTATCCCCTCTCATGTGCAACTTCAAAGCTTTCAGCCCATCTCTTTGCCCTATCTAGAAAAAACTGTTGCAGCCATGAAACCCTCTGGCTGCCCAGATGATGTTATCCCACCTCGACTCCTGAAAGAGGCGTTTCCTTTAATTAGCAATAGCGTGCTAGGCATTATAAATAGTAGCTTGACATTGGCTGAAGTTCCTCGTGCCTTTAAACACGCTGTTCTACAACCAATCTTGAAAAAACCCGGCCTTGATCCCACAGATTAATCTCCGACCAATTTCCAAATTACCGTTTTTATCTAAGGTCCTTGAGAAAATAGTCTATGCACAGTTGCTGAAACAGCTAAATGAAATGCAGGTAATGGACACCTGTCAGTCTGGTTTTAGAAAACAGCACAGCACTGAAACTGCTCACGTTTGGGTGTTTAATGACATTTTTCTGGCTTTAGATTCAGGTTTCCATGTGGTTCTGGTACTTTTGGATCTATCTGCAGCATTCGACACGATCGATCATGACATTTTGATCACAAGACTTCACACTTGGGATGGTATTTCAGGCACAGCCCTGGATTGGTTTAGGTCATACTTTTGTAACAGGTCCGCTAGGTTCATGTTGGATGGCTGTTCATCCGAGTCACAGCCTCTACGTTGGGGTGTCCCACAAGGTTCAATTCTCGGCCCGTTACTGTTCAACCTCTATATACCGCCCTTAGGAGCCATTTTCAGAAAGCACGCTGTCTCATACCATCTTTACGCTGACGACTGTCAAATCTACTTTTCATTTAAGCCAACTCAATAAAGGAAAGTTCTGTCTGATTGTATCCATGAGGTCAAGCAATGGCTAGCTGACAACTTCCTCCATCTCAATGACTCCAAAACTGACTTAATCGTTTTCAGTCCTAACAGTATCACGGCAACTCAACAACCTGACCTCAACTATCTCTCACCTAATGTATCCTCTGTAATCTCCAACCTTGGAGTAAAAATGGACCAGGCTCTGAAGATGGATGCCCAGGTCAATAACACAGTTAAATCATGTTTTTACCAACTAAGACGCATCTCAAAACTAAAGCACATCCTGAGTGTCCGTCTTCTGAAATCGGTGGTCCACACTTTTATCACTTCAAGGCTGGATTACTCTAACTCCTGCTTATACGGCATCAGTAAAGCAGCTCTTTCTAGACTTCAGCTGGTCCAGAATTCTGCAGCTAGGTTGCTGACTGGAGCTGACAGAAGACAACACATTTCTCCAATTCTGAAATCTCTCCACTGGTTGCCCGTGCAGTTCAGGATAAACTTCAAAATTATGCTTCTCACTTACAAATCCTTGAACCATCAAGCTCCTCCATATCTGTGTGAACTTGTCCATTACTACAACCCGCCGCGTGCTCTCAGGTCTGAAGATAAGCTCCTCCTAGCTGTTCCGAATGCTCGTTTAAAAAGCCGTGGAGAGAGGGCTTTCTCTGTCTGTGCACCGAAGCTGTGGAACGCATTACCACTGCTAGTGAGGCTAGCACCAACCGCTAGCATTTTTAAATCACGCCTGAAAACTCACTACTTCAACCTAGCTTATACCACATAATTATCAACCTCACTTACATCTGCACTGTTTAAAAATGGACTTAACAATATCAACTTCTGTATTATTGAGGTTCTTTTTTAAAATGTTTTTCTAATTTTTATTCTCCCTGTGTTTTATTGATTTTTAGCGGTTAGTTTTGGGAATTTTGTTGTATTTTCTTTTTATCTTTTATCTGTGTTCGACATGTTTGTATATCGCCTGTTTAATTAACCAACATTTTTAGTGTACAGCACCTTGTTTGGTTGTAATGCCTTGTTGAATGCGCTTTATAAATAAAATTGGATTGGATTGGATAATGTATGGTCTCTAAAATGATGCAAAATGTGAAACCGTGCACATTCATCACTGTCTCACAAACTACGGTGCCTATTTTCAATCATTCCCACTTAAAGTGGCTCTGGAGTTGTGGCTGTTTCTGACGCCTGCCTTTGCTCTGTTGCCAGTGGTTACAGTCGGAGACGCAGCCGGCCAACTTCAGCGAAGTGGTGGAGGAGCTGTTCCAAGTCATCCCTGATGAGGTACTTTACATGGACGCCAGCCCTGATCGCTGCAGGACCTGTTCTGTGGTGGGGAACTCTGGAAATCTGAAGGGGTCCCGTTATGGCCACCTCATCGACTCCAGTGATTTCATTATAAGGTCATGTAACTCTTGCACTTGCAGCCCGATTTTAAAAGTTAACACAGTTGCACTAATCTTTGGGCTGAGATTTCTAAGTTTGTCTGTTTCAAGAACATTTAAATATGGTGAAATTCGGAGACTCTGAACGTGAAACGGGCCTTTAACAAACTCAGATAGGATCTGTTGATCCGAATGTTTTGAGCTGAAACTAACCCCTCATGGTTAGCACTCATACCGTTGGTTTTTGGTCATTGTGTTTGCAGATGTATTTTCAGGTACAACTTTCAGTGTAGCCAACCTTACTCTTACTCATTATTTTAAGTTACATCCCAGATGTTGTTGATGCGTGCTGATTCCTCTTTGCAATTCAAGACCTCTGGAACAAGTTACCCCCACAAAAGTGCATTTAAAACCCCGCTTTTAACAAGTAGAACCTGACACTTTTTCCTTTATTTTAATGGTTTTTTTTAACTTTGTGCCTTTATCCTATTGATTTTATTCACCTACATGTTAGATTTTGTTTCCTTGTTTATATTGGCATTTTTCTTTGTGATTGTAACATTATTATCCTGACTTTTGTGCAGCTTTGTTGTTTTAGAAATTCTGACCTTTGTGTAATTGAAATTTTTAAATAGTACAATTTTACTTCTCTTTTGTGTCACTGCAGCACATACTGAAGCAAAGTTAAAGTTAGATGGGACGTAGCAAAGAAATAAAACTGGCTTGCTAAATCCTTCAATTAAGGTTCATGTGTAGAGTGGCACATACATAACAAGTTGTAATTTCTAACAAACAATTGCATGGATAAGCAAATGTGACTCCGTCAGGCTTCATTATGATAGCTAATTGACATAAACTGCACAGGCCTTTTGAAAATGTACACACACTCAGGGTTTGTGAAAGACAGCAGTAACCATCGACACAATATAAGCAGTAACACCAGAAGACTGACAAGCATGAATGGAAGAGAGAGCACTGAAATACTGCTGACCTTTAAAACGTTAGCTGGTTATTACATGCTGTGTGATCTAGCCGCACACTGAAGAGCACGGCTGTCTGACGAAACACCACTAATGTTTGGAAGTTTGAAGTAGAAATGAAGTAGAAGAAATGGAAAAGTAAATTGTGTTTACAGGAGTGTTCTTCTTTTTTTTCAGAGCTAACACTTCATTTAATAGGACATTCAATATTATATTTTTATTACCAGATGCTAAAATTAGAGGAATTTTTAGTTAGAAATTGTAGAAATGTACTCATGCACAGTGAATCCCAAGTGATTAAGTATACAGAATTGTCATTGAGTTAAAGGTACAATAAGTAAGAATTTTACAGTGAAATAATTATGAAGCAGTCCAAATGTCTCAATCATGGTGGAAGGAAGGTTACATTTAAACAGGTTTCTTTTTCTCTTTTTAAAAAGGCAGAAGGGTGACATAATCGTTGTTTACAGTTGGTCCTGCCTCAACACTCTCTGATTCCATAGCCATACATGTGAGTCTGAGGGATTGCCAAGTCTGTGTTGGCAACCATGCAGCACTGGCATTTGGATTTGGAAATTGGCATCGGCCATCAAAAAGCAGCAGAGTTGTGGAAAAAAACATGGTAGCTAGTAAAAGGAGCAGCCCAGAAGTTATTTCTTGTATGCCTAAGAAGTCACAGCATCCTTTTCCTTTTACTCTAATATCGGACTATATATATATATATATATATATATATATATATATATATATATATATATATATATATATATATATATATATATATATATGTTGCACACATGAATGAAAAGTCAGTGTGCTTTGTTGCGGGTTTTATTCCATCTTTGGCTGTTAACACAGACGAGAGCGCAATGAGCAGCGTCTTCTCCAACAGTCAAACAGCACTGAATTAACCGTTGAACCGTTTAACACGTAACATAAACATTCACATCCTTGGCTTTACCTTAAAACAAGTCAGATACAGCTCACTCCTTTCAAGCACACAACATTTATAGCAGCATCACAAAGTCCTGGTACAACTGGTAAAAGTTAGCTTAGCTGTTAGCTTACTCACGTTACCATATAAAACTAACATTTTACAAAACAAACATACAGGGATAGACGGCCAACATTCCCCTCATTACCCCGGACTTCTACCCAATCTCCTTCATTGCTGTTATTGTGTTATTTGTGCCTTTTTACCTGTTAACACAGACGAGAGCGCAATGAGCAGCGTCTTCTCCAACAGTCAAACAGCACTGAATTAACCGTTGAACCGTTGGGTCAGCAGTACACACTGTGTTCGTTGTGCCCCCTTGTGGCGAAACGTTGTTACTACATCGTTTACTCATTAACAGTCCACAGGGAGAAGTCGAGCTATAATGAACTTCTAAAAGGTTAGCAGTGAAATGGCATGAAGTCAAATAAATTAAAGAAAGAGAGAGGGGGTCATCTCTATTCTCTCACATATATATATATATATATATATATATATATATATATATATATATATATATATATATATATATATATATATATATATATGTATATATATAGACCCGAATATAACACAATGTTTTTTTTTTCATTGAAAATAATTTTAAAATGTGGGGTTGTCTTATAATTGGGTCTAACCATTACATGCCCGTAACAGCAGAGGACACCAGGATGTATGTTCTCAACAGGAGAAAAAAATGGAGACGAGAGGTCCGGCGCAGAGCGGACCAAAAGTGGGGCAAGTTAACAAGCTATGAGGCAGAGTTATGCGAGTTTTAAGATGACAGTGGCCAATTAAGCAGAGGCGTCAAACATTGCATGCATGGATGTGTTGGATGTCAGTGAGGATGACGTTCTGGGAGGAGTCGGCAGGTGTAGCGATCAGATAGTACACCCCACAGCAGCATGAGTGAGAATGAGAGTGAGTTGTAGGAGTTGGTAAATGTAGTGCTTTAAAAGCTTAATATATTATCTTTACTTATGACCAATAAGCTGTGATACTCTATATAAATGTAGAGTATCAACCTGCTTGGTCTTTGGATGTTTAATCAGAAGATTCTAGGATTCTTGTTTATTCAGGGGTTGTAAACACTTCATCTTGATTCAAGAAAACAGTCAGGTTTATAAAAGTATGGATTTATTTTCCAAACAATTAAAACATGACACGTTAACTAATATTTACTGTGATGGATGGATCTAGGTGGATGAAATATGATGTATGGTGCTTATGTGTGAATATGATGTTATCCGAACTTACTTATCTAGAAGAACTGAGTTCTGGGTGTAAAAGGGAAGAATTTGGTTTGCGTTAAGCTATGAAGTTGATTCTCATCAAAAAGCATCAGACGTTATCTGCGTGTCTACCTCACCCTTTAGAAGACCCCCTTGTGGATCCGAAGGTCAGAGAGGTCGGATGACCTCTGGCACCGAGGTTGTAGAAGACCGTAGCACCGACCCTCCAGTCCAGAGATGTTTTCCGGGTCACAACAGGTGGATGAAACCGTTGCGTCTAGATGGACTCTTAAGGAGTTGGAACAACTCTTTTATATGGACTAGAGGCTAACTTTGAGCTAACAGTTCTAACAGTGAATTAAATAAACATAGATCTAAATAAATCTCAAGCTACTTTTTTCAATTAATGTGATATTACAGTGAAATGTATTTATCTACCAGTTTACTGTTAAGTAAGTACATTTTATTTATACAGCACTCATCACAGACAGAATCACAAAGTGCTTCACATAGATCAAAACAAAGTCATAAAACCATATTGATCTTAAAACAGAAATAGATTAAAACCATAAAAATAAAGTCATAAAATAACTAAATATCATAAAACAAACCTTGGATGACTCATCTTCTCCCATCAGCTAGCATCTTTTGGTGCTGATCCATATCTGGCTGCAGTTGTTCGCGGACTTGTTTGTTTTGATACATGGACTGTAGTACACTAATTAGACCAAATGATGTCACTCTTACTTCATACACCTGTAATCATTGGAATTGTTGTTCTGGAGAATAATCTTGTCTGTCAGACTGCTAAAGTTTGGATAAATACTATTTTGGAAAAACAAAGACGCTCCTCCTTGAACCGTCACCTTATTGTGGTGGAGGAGTTTGCCCTAATGATCCTAGGAGCTATGTTGTATGGGGTACTTTGTGCCCCTGGTAGGGTCTCCCATGACAAATTGGTCTTAGGTGAAGGGTGAGACAAAGAACGGTTCAGAGGACCTTTCATGGATGAACTATCAAGGAGTCAGAGTACCCGGCCCGGAGGGTTACCGGAGTCCCACCCTGGAGCCAGGCCTGGGGTTGGGGCCTGTGAGCGAGCGCCTGGTGGCCGGACTTTCGCCTATGGGGCCCGGCCGGGCCCAGCCCGAAACGGATACATGGGCTCATCCAACTGTGGACCCACCACCCGCAGGAGGAACATGAAGGGTCCGGTGCAATGTGGATCGGGTGGCAGACCAAGGCGGGAGCCTTGGCGGTCCGATCCCCAGACAAGGAAACTGGTTTTTGGGACATGGAACGTCACCTCACTGGCAGGGAAGGAGCAGGAGCTTGTGGCAGAGGTTGAGCAGTACCGGGTAGATATAGTCGGACTCACCTCGACACATAGCATTGGCTCTGGAACCCAAGTCCTTGAGAGGGGTTGGACACTCTCCTTTGCTGGAGTTGCCCCGGGTGAGAGGCGGAGGGCTGCGGTTGGCTTTTTGTTAGCCCCAAGACTCTCTGCCTGTGTGTTGGGGTTTACCCCTGGTGATGAGAGGGTAGCTTCCCTGCGCCTTCGGTTCGGGGAACGGGTCCTGACTGTTGTTTGTGCTTATGGGCCAAATATCAGTTCAGAGTACCCACCCTTTTTGGAGTCCCTGGGACGAGTGCTAGATAGTGCTCCATCAGGGGACTCCATTGTCCTGCTGGGGGACTTCAATGCTCACGTGGGCAATGACAGCTTGACCTGGAGTGATGTGATTGGGAGGAACGGCCCGCCTGATCTGAACTTGAGTGGTGTTTGGCCATAACGAACACCATGTTCGAACATAA